ACAGCAAGAATTGGAATCTCAGCAACATCTCAAAACTCGAGTTCGGGAAATATGCCTGACATGTCCGTGTCTGTTTCAGGCTGCTTTCTTGGCCTCTCGCATGCCACCGACGGATAACATAGCGACACTCGCTGCAGTGCAGCTTGAGTACCTGAGAGGCATTGTGATGCGCATTGGGAAGTGCATGTGCCGGGTTGTCAGGCCAAAGTCAGGGTGCGCACGCCACGGTTGCGATAAAACCTGCGATCCTTCAAAACAGTTGGAACAGCTGCATCTGGAAGTAGCAACAGCCACAACAACAACGACAAGAACAACGATGACAAGAACACATCGACCACGAAGAACTGCAGAACACATGACAGGCGCATAGTTACCGCGATGAGCATATGGTTTGGTAAGCACAATGTCCCAACAAGTTCAATCCAAGCCATGAGTGTCCTGTATCTGAGGTCCCCAGTTGAAAGAGGTCAGCCCAGAAGACACACCTGGGTGATGCGGCGCGGGACACACTGCCCAATCGAAATCCCTCCTCGGCTAGGGCCGCAGCTTCCGGATAGGGCTACCAGATAGTCGCAACCCGGCTTAGCCCATCTGCCACCTGCAAGCCCGAAGCACCCGTTTCTTTTGTGACATTCTTTCAAGATTCAACACAAGGCGCGGGCGCAATGCAGAAGTGAGCAGACTGGCCATGCCGGAACACGATGCGGAGAAGAACTCCCCGGGTCTAGCCCGGTATGAAGACGCCACTTCAGTTCACATCTTAGCGAAACACCCCATCTAGTGTAGGTGTGCGTTCATGAGATGACAAAACGATCACTCCTCATCAAGCCGACTTCGTGCATGTGCCATGCATGGTCTGGTAGGAATGGTTGCTCAAACAAATTTTGGCTACAAGAAGAAATCTCCAACTTCCAGCAACGAAGTCTAGTTGCAAATGTCTTCCCCACGCGTGTGACTGTTCCACCGCCTGTAAACGAAGCTAGCCGCCACAAACTTCCAACACCTAAACATAGCTCCTGCACCAGAACTGCCAGAAATCCTCAACCAGAACACCTGAAGTTCTGCGATCTCACAAGTGGAGGGTGTTGAGCTTGGTTGCTCTTCAGCACCCACCGGAACGTGTGACAGTCTGTCTGTTATCTGCAAAAGAAGACACCGAGAGTGTTCAGGGACTCTCAGATAAGCATAAGCCAAGCACGTCTTAAGCTAACCAGGGACTCGACAGGGGAAGTTCATCAGTAGGCTTCTTGGGAGGTTTCGTAATGCCAGTTTAGTCATGGTTTTCTTAAAGAGGTTTGGAAGAAATGTCAAAAGACCCGCTGCGCTTACTGCAATCGGCAGCCAAATGGAGAGCTTTGAGGAACTATGCGACGAACTGCTCAGAAAGATGTCCAAGAACAGCAAAAAGCCCCTCGAGAACGTGCTACAATGCAATGTGGCCACGAACATTCCGCTGCGAATGCACTTAAAAAGCTATCCTATTAGAAACCCTTAGTACTTGCAATGGCTTTTCGCTACTAGAATACTAGAACGTAGGTCTAAATATCTTCTCTGCAACCCCAGAACTATCAAAAACGTCTGGTGGCACCGACTCGCAAACAGATTCGAACGATCAAAGCTCACATCTCCCAGGTCAGTCGGTCACTGCGGGTTCCAGGAGTACTCATGCGAAGCCTCTTGTAACACTGGGCAACTCAGGCAGCCGTGACCACGCGCAGCTGCAAGGGTAGGCTGCAAAGCAAGGTCAGGACACGGAAAGGCCGGAGGAAGAGAACAGGCAGCCCATACTCAAGAAGGCACACCACCCGACTTATGAGGAAGGCGTGACAAGAAAACACCTGTCCATTACCACCTACGAGGAAGACACAGCCAACAAACGAAACTACGAGCACCAGACCCCAACAAGCGCACGTCCGTACTTCCGGCCACTGCGAAGCGAGGGCGTTGGCGACCAGCAAAAGACTAACTTCAAATCCATACAGTGTGCCATACAGTCTATAAGTCGAAAAACATGTACAGACGATCCGACCCTGTAAGCAGGACTCACAGCATGATGGATAGCCCTGAAGCCACGCAGAAAACGAACATCCGAATCTGAAACACTTTCTCTCAGCCCCAACCGATTCCGGCAGCACACGTTTCGACAGTGAATGCGACATAGTCATGTATCAGCTTGAGGTGCAAGAAGCTCCTCTAAGGCTTAGGACCAGGGCTTTGGCTTTGAGGTTAGCCTGTGAGAGCTTGATCTGCGATGCTGGTGGCTATAGCTATGTCAGCTATGTCAGACGTCGGGTTCAGCTCAACACTCGGGACTTGAGGCGGAACCCCCTTTGACTTTTGGGGCGGGCTTCACTTGCTCGGGTCTAACTTTAAAAGGCCCATCCTCAGAGCTTCGAAAATCTGCGGCAAACTCGGTGGGGGTCCTCGGAAGGGGGATAAAATGAACCCGTTCGGAACCGCAAATTGAAAACCCAGTCCCCAAAAGCCTCCAAAACCGGCCTATGCAATTGGGACGATTAGCTTCGGGCAGCAAGCTTCTTTTCCACACGCCATCCGCAGCAGTGCACAAGTGCACAGAGAATTCAGCCCAGGGCCTAGTATGTGCACAGCCCGTCATTCAAGAAGACACATTTGTCCGAGCATTGTCCCTCGGATGTGATGGATCTAAAGACAAACTCGCCTCGGACCTCCCAATGACAGCGGCAGCAGACGAAGCCTTTGGTCACAGCCTTGTCTTCCAAGATCTCCTGATGGCCCTGGTTGCCGAGATTTCCCAAGTTCTCCCCCATCAGGTCTTTGTCAAAGTTCTCCTTCATGTCCTCCTGACTGCATCCAGTTCGTGCTCACTGATAGTACTTGCTGCCGTTTTGATTTTTTACGTCTTAGCTTTGTTAACTGAACGTTCCTTCCCCTGTGATTTTCGAACTAGCCAATTATCTGGTTGTTCCACCTGGCCTGGCCCTGATGCAGGTGCACGAGCTTCTCATGCTCGTGTGTTTCCATTTGGTTGCGGACGGCCCCAGCGTAGGCTGCCAAACACAACGACACGGCCACGAAGAGCATGCGATGCATCCTTGTTCTGGATATGGCAAACGAGGGTGAGGATAGCTTTTGAACCTTTGAAACAGGCTGCGGGTCAGTATGCAGCGGCCTCCATGCACAGGCAGCCTACGATAACTTCGGACTTTCTTGGCAAAAGTGAGGGGTGTCTGTGTACGTTCAGAAACTCGAATAGTTATGACAGCCTGTGAGCGCAACAAGCGAGGTGAATGAGAGAACAGCACAAAGCCCCCTTTTCTGCACTTTTTCTGTGGAGTCTTTTGCCCCGGGTACTCTTGGCAAGCGAGGTGAATGATACATAATCCTGGAAGAGCCAGCAAGAGATTCCTTCTGGACAAATCCTTAGTGGCAAGCTGGTGCTCGCGAAAAAGCCCGTTAATTGATAAAAACAACATACAAAGAATGTCAAGGACCCCCCCCCCCAAATACAAGAGCTTTTGTTTTCATGTCGTTCACCCTTATTTGGTGCGTATTGCTGTTCTTGCGAACTCCAAGCAAATCTTGTTCGCGACTGTAATGTTTTATGAACTGAATGGAAATAGACCAGTACAAACTATAGCTCATGTATATCTGGTGTTTTCACTCGCTGTCTCAGGCTCACAGCCAGCAAGTTTAGAGTCTGAGGAGTCGAAAGCGAATGAGTGGGACAAGTCCCGGGGCAATGAGGGTTTTTGCTTTTACGGCTTTGGCGGCCCCTGTGCCAGGAGGAAGTCAGACACCCCTTTGCCCCTTTTGGGTAATGATGCCACCGTCAACCCATTAGATGATCATTCCTAGGGTCCCCCCTACACTTCACCGATATATCACTACTACTACCCCATTATCAACACAATTCTAGGAATAACCATTACCCCATCTATTATCTCTAAGGTGGCATTATTACTCAAAAGGGGCAAGGGGGTCCTTGTAGGATTTGGTTCAGGGTTTAGGGTTAAGGGTTAAAACAACACTGTAATTATAATATATAACTGCTTATGTATTATAATTACATTATAACTATAACCATGCTAATAATAGTGTTATAGTTGTTTCTATACTAATGAAAATACATAATCTACATATTCCATAATCTCTTCAGTGGTTGTATTATAATGATCTCTCCAACCGACCAACCAAAAATCAAAACATTCTCGTAGTATTTCCTTTACTATAACTTCCTTACTAATTTCAAAGCCGTTAAATCTTATAGTAGCAGTTTTAATCTTGTAATATGCGATTTCCTTTTTAAGCTCTTCTATATCGGTTAAATTGCGAATGACACAATACAATAGCATCACGTGACATACACCGTGAAACATAAGACGTTCGCGGTCTGAATGGTTGCTGATATTCATAAACTGCTTCATTATCTTTCGCAATGGGTTATTTGACCTTCTGATGATGTTTTTGTATTTTCGCCTATCCATGATTGTATCAATGTTGTGGTTACGATATAGCAAGTGTATTATTGTTTTTTGCACTTTGTTTAACTTTGAAAGTTTGAGGTTTTTATCAAAGTCTTCAATTTCGAAAATCTTATTTCTACACTTATCGCACTTGTCATATTCACATACACGATTACATATATCAATCGGCCATTTGCTATTTAACACCCTTGCTTTGTTGGTTTCTTCGCACTTCCAGCAATTTTCAAACTTGAACATTTCCCTGTTAAATTATGTAGGTGTTATTTCTTTAAGTCATTTTCCTCAGAAATATTATTTTCTTAAGATTTACTGCATCGCGGTTTACTTGACAGATTTATCCAAGCATTCAGAGCAAGTCGCAATGTATTTAACATAGTAATAAGAATGCTTACCAGCATAATAGCAACGCTTAAAACAATCAATATTTTTGTCTTGCTTACAACGATAACACTTCCTAGTAACAACATTATTTGTTTCAGTATATGGACCAAAATCAACTGATATCTTATTTACTTTAATTGGCATTATTATTATTATAAACATTTTTCATAATGAGATATTATGAAAAAAGGTTTGCATTCCCTAAGATTTAATGAAACTAATTACGAATTAATTTCATTTCCACACTCTTATGGTGTGCTTATGAAGCTGTTCATCACACACGGGAGCAATGGGACCTTCTAGATGTCTGGGCAGGGGAACTATACAAACTGTCAAGTTACCATAGAAAATATTTTTTAAATCTTAATCCATCATATTTAAATTATTCTTTAAAATAGTTACATCTTTGTCTATCCTTTCAACATCCTCCTCCACTTTTTCTAACCTCTCTTCTGGGGTTGGCTTTCTTGAACCCCATCCGGTGGTAACCGTATCAACACCTTCATTATCTTGTGAGTTTGTTTTAAAGATGTCGTTTTCATCGGGGGTTATTCCTCTTCCCATTTTCCAAGAACTCCGATCTTCAATGATTGTTTTACCTTCATTGTTTATCCTAGTTTCTTTGTGAAAAGTTTTTCTTCTGCATTTGCAGGGCAAACAATTCAAACCATCTGTGTTTAAGTGGAAGCCACCTTCGTTAGGTTCTTTATGATTTTCGCTCATTAACATTTCTTAGATTTTTTTGAATACTCAAGAACTGCCTTAAGCAATTCTAAAGAAGCGGCGCAACACCTTTTAAGCTTGGTATCTTGTATTACAATCTTCTCAATTTCCTCAATCTCCTCTATCGTTTCCAAATACCTATCCATTATAGTAAATGATATATAATTTTCTCGGCTTAAATAATGGATATACCAATAGTCAAACCTATCAACGAAATCAACTATGAATTTAAACAGTCAAAATATTCAAATGTGCCTAAAGTGCCATTTCGTGCTTTGATATTTGGCCCCTCGGGAAGTGGAAAATCAGTTCTGCTAGTATCATTAATATTAGATATATACCGAAGTGTATTTCGAAGAGTCTACGTGTTCTCACCTAGTGTGAATCACGACAGTATTTGGTTGCCTGTCAAGAAATATGTCAAGGATGAACTCAAAGTGAATGAAGATAAGGAAAGATGCTTCTTTGAAGAATACAAAAGCGAAGATTTAATGAAAATAATTGACACACAAACTAAAGTTACTAAGTATTTGAAAGACAACAAAGAAAAGAAATTATACAATATTCTGGTTGTGCTGGACGATATAGCCGATTCTCCTGAAATAGCAAGACATAATAAATTGCTACAGTCACTTTATGTCCGCGGAAGACATGCTGGTATCAGTGTAATAACAGCATCACAAAAGGCTTTTATATTGCATCCTGTGATTAGGGTTAATGCAACGCAACTATTTATATTTCGTTTAAGAAACAAAAAAGAGCTGGATTCAATCATTGAGGAATTGGGGGCGTTAGCAGATCCCAAAGTCTTACTTGAAATCTATCATATGGCAACCGCTGAAGATTTTAATTTTCTATATGTTGATTTAATGAAGAAAAATATTAACGAAATGTTTTACCAAAACTTTTCATCAAAGATACAAATAGAAGATGTTTAAAGAAATAGCATTTTATAGGATATTAAGGAATATGCCAAGAAAACTCATAGATTACAGTAACACACATTTTTATAAAATTGTATGTAATGATTTAGGAATTAATCAATGCTATGTGGGTCACACTACAGATTTAGTGAAACGAAGGTGTGAACATAAAAACACGTGTAATAACCCAAACTGTAAGCAATATAATCATTATGTTTATTCATACATCAGGGCAAACGGAGGGTGGGAGAATTGGAATGTTATACTCATTGAAACGAAAAGTTGCAAAGATGCAGAAGAAGCAAGAATTAAAGAGCGGGAGTTTATTGAAAAACTAAATGCAACTTTGAACCAAGTAAAACGACCCTTTAGAAGTCAAGATGAAAAAGCTGAATATTTAAAACACTACTATAACTCAAACAAACTTCTGTTGAATGAAAACCATAAGGAATATTATCAAAAGAACAGGGGCGAAATCGGTGAATATGCAAGGCAATATTATCAAGATAACAAACAACATTTGTTGAACATGAAAAAAGATAGATACGAGAATGATGTTAGCAGGTATAAGCAAGAAATGAAACTGTATAGAGAAAAGAACCATGAAAAGATATACGCAAAGCAGAAAGAATGGGTAGCGCAAAACAAAGAGCATGTTAAGCAAAAACAAACACTGTGGCATGAACAAAACAAGGAACGAATAAGAAACCAACAATCACAACCTCACTTATGTAGGTGTGGGTCTACGGTTCAAATCAATAACAAAGCACGACACGAACGAACCAAAAAACACCAAGCCTACCTAAACAACCAAGCAAGTGATGAACATACAGAAGAGTTCCTACAAACAACCCAAGATAATTAATAATATTACTAAAAATATTACTATTTATCATTAAAATAAACTAGGATTACAACAATGTAAATGAGTAAAACCGAAGCAGGGGCATTTCTTCCTCTTTTTCAATGCTTCAACTTTCTTTTCTTCCTCGTCTAATTTATTTAACAGATCTTTCATCGCTTTTAAGAGTATATCGGTTTCCGAAATGTCTTTGCTTTTTTGTTTAAGTAGTTCCATACAGGTGGCATACTCAGAATGAAAATCGCTCATATACATTAGTTTATATTAAATTAATCACTATCATTTTTCATCTTCTTTTTCAACTTTGTTAATTCGCCTTTCAAAGACGTGATTTCTTTTTGCATTTCTTGCACAGCTCCCCATAAAATAACTGTCATTTTATTGTATGCTAATAGTTTCATACCATCATCGTTAAAAAAAATATAATGTTATCCCATTCAGGGGGCAGTTTAGCATTCTTCACATCGTCGGCTATAAATCCTAGATTACTCTTTTATCTTCGTCCTTAACAAAATTAAAGGTTTTCGGTTTAACGTATTTAACTACACTATCACAGTCTTTGGTATTCACTTCTTTAATATTCTCTTTTAACTTAAAATCTGATGTTTCTATTAATGCTGTGCAGGTTAGAGTTCCTCCAGTATCTGCGTTATTTGTTGTAGTAAAGAAACCGTAAGCATCCACGCCTGTATTTGTAGCATCTAATCTTGATAAATT